TTCAATCCCCCCTCCCCCTCCCCCTCATCAAAACCCTCACCCCAGGATTGGGAAAGACCAACTCCCCCGCCCCCAAATTCGCAGGCCGGCGCCTCCTCTCCCCCGGAAACAGTCGCAGATCGTACCGCCCAAGCAGACCACTCAGCGCCATAGCCGCCAAGCGCGCCGCAAGATGTCGGCCGGGACACGCCCCCGCCGCGGCGGCGGCGCGGTCATTGTCCTCCCCCCACCCGAAGTGCAGATTGACCGGGCTGGAGTCCGCCAGTCCGGTGTCGAAGGCGACCGCCCTGCGGAGCCGCGGGTCGATCGTGTCCGGGCGGAGCAGGGGGAGGACCTCGAGGGGGTCCCGGGTCCACCGGAAGGGGTCGAAGCGCTCGGCGTGCGGGATTATGGCGGCGTCGCGGGAGAGAGGGCCCGCTGGGAAGGCGATTTGGGTGAGTGCGGGGAGGGTTAGGGGTTCGGTGCTGGTGGTGGTGGATGTGGATGTGAAGGCGAAGGTGTGGGGTTTAAGGAGGGTGTAGCGGGGGTTTACTGTTCCCCAGGGGGGTTAGCTGGGTTGGTCTGGTTCGGGGGTGCAGGTGTGGGATGTGGTCTTTGGGGGGGGACTTACGTTCGCTCAGCGGGTTCCAGCGCAGGACTTCTCGGAGGAAACTGTCCATGAGGCATTGGTATGGACGGGGGATGAGACCGAATTCGTCGTCGTGCTCGAGGAGGGATAGGATTCTCTCGGTTTCGGTCCGGAGCGGGTCGATGGTCTGCTGGCCCTGGCCCTGGGTGAGAGCGTCGTAGACGGCGTGCGTGACGAGGTTGGTGAGCGGGTGGACGATCGAGATCGTGATGGTCGACATCAGCGCCTGGGCGATGTTGGCTGGGTCGCGGTCGAAGTTCGTCGTGGCCGTGTCCATTATCCGCTGCATGAGGTCCTGCGGCTTTTGGTAGGCGCTGTCGTGGACTTCCTTGTGTTGGCGCGATCGGATCGTGGGGACGAGCAGCTCGGTCTGGGCCCAGCGCGCTCTTGCGCGGGCCCGGCGGAGGCTGGGAAGAAGTCGGGCGACGAGCGCTCGTAGGAACTGGGGCACGGGACGCAGGAGGATGATGGTTGTGAGGATGTCGCTTGTGTAGCTGGGGACTGTTTCGAGCCAGAGCTCGTTCAGGTAGAGCTCTTCGCCCACGGTGAAGCGGGCGGTGGCGCGGCTGATGAGCTTGAGGACTAGTTTGTAGAGGTTGACGGGCGTCCATTTGTCTGGGCGGGTGTGTTAGTCTAAGGCTGGGGTGGAGGTGAGCGAGGTGGAGGTGTTTGTGATGGAGGTGAATAGGGTGAAGGTGGAGTGGAGGCGAGGAGATACGTACACTGGCATCTTGGGACTTCGACGTAGAGCGCCTTGTGAACTTCATCGTTGAACTGCATAGCAATGTGCTCTTTTATGCAGGTGAGTAAGAATGCCAGTCAACCTCCGGGGATCGATATAGAGAATAGAGAAGACGTACGATGATTCTGCTGGCTCATCTCGGCCACTGCACGAGATACATTGGTACTCCCCCTGACTACGTCAGTGTACTCGCTCAGGAGAATCTGAAAACAGAGGAACATAATCAGCAGCCGAATCTTCTCAGTCCCTCGCATGTGTTCAGCTCACCTTATGTCGTGCTCTAGTAGCGCTCAGCGTGGTCATGGGCAACCGCTCAATCTCCCATAGATACTTGTGCGGCAAAACAACCAAGTCACCGTCCGTGGTAAGGAGCCGAAATGCACGATCCTTGTACTGGGAGATATCAAAATGCATCAGTACGGATCGTTGGGTAAGTGATGGCTGCAACATGGAGTACCTTTTTGTAACCCTGAGCGATTTGATCGCGTCCGTAAAAGTAGAACGCGATTCGGTTGAGGGCGTCGGGGAGGAACCATTGGTATCGGACTGTGGGCAGTTTTGCGAGTTCATCTGTCAAAGGATCGATGGCATAGCGATGGAAGAAGAAGCAGACGGCGAGAGTGATTGGCAAGACAATGGAGGTCTTCCACGCAGCCAGGTTGAGATAAACGTAAAGGTCATTTAGAAAAGACATGGTGGATGATAAAACAGCCTGTGGTGGATGGAAGAGTACTAGGAGGTAAGGTGGAGAAGAAAAGAAACTGCAAAGAGCAACTGGATGCTCACTTAAAGCACACCGAATACATTCACTGCAAACGCCCCAAGGTAATTCTGAAAGTTTATTATTCGGTTTATATGTACTACATATCCTATGAACACAGCATCAGACTCCTAAAACTTTTGCTGTCCCCTTTCTCTTTCCTAGTATACCACAGATTCAACGCCAGGAGCACATGCGAAACCAAACAGATGACCGGAGGGGAACAAGAACGACAGGAGTATCCGGGTACAAAAACAGTGACATACAATCATTCAAGGCCCATCCATTCCCCATCAGCCTCCTCCGCTGCCTCTTCCATGGTCTCGTCCTCGCCATTGGTAGCCTCAGCATCACCATTGAGGGCAGCGAGAATAAGACTGGGTTGCTTCTTGCCTGCAAGCACAGGTTTTGCCAGGAGGAAGTTGAGATCATAGATATTCTTGTCTGTCAGTCTCTTCAGGCTGTTATGTATCTCATCGATGACACGTTGCACAGCACGAAGCTCTGGTGCGAATGTGCCCGCATTCTCCTTGAAGTAGCGACCATGGGCGCTGAAAAGAGACTCAATCCACAACAAGTTGAACTCCAAGTGCGGAGTTTCTTCGGCAGCGTTGGCGACGAAGCGAAGGAGGCGAGGGAGGTAAACTGTTGGCACAGCACGCACAACATGGGGAATATCGCCCGGAGGGATGGCTTCATGGACTGCCCGGATGAGCTTCTTTTCGTTCAGACGGAATGCCATGATGAACGCCTTAAGGAATGTGTTGTCATCGTCCGTTTGGCCGGTTGCTGCGGCCTGCTTGGCGGCCTCGAGGGTCTCCAAAATGCTAGACGGGGTGATCGAGATATCGAGATCATAAGGATCAAACACCACATCGGTATCCAAACTATAGATAAGAAGACCTTCTGTGGAGGCCGCACAGAATGAACGGCCAGCCGGTGAAAAGTCGACTCCTGTGACTCGGACCTCCGGTCTGACTTTCCGAGATCCGGGGTCACCACGCTTCGCGCCAGGGAGGCTGCGATCAATGCGGTCCTCAACATCTGAAGCCTCACCTGCCTCATCGATAAGCTCGCGAGGCCCAGCCTCCGTCATATTGCGGCTATTGAGGATTTCCTGAGTACCCTCGAGCGAGGTGTTGACCGACACAGTATACTTCTTCACCATCGATCCTGTTGCGACATCATACAAGCAGATGTACTTGCTGTTTCCGGCGGCCAGAATACAACTGCCGTCCGCGCTGTACTTGATGCAGCGGAAGGACTTGGTTCCTGCGGCGTTTGCGGCGGTCTGTCGGTCACTGGTCTTCCGACCTCCTGAGACATCACGACGGCCGTCAACACCGCCAATCTGGACGGCATCGTTGACAGACCAGAACGTTAACTGTCCGTCCAAGCTCGACGCAGCAACCTGCTTGCCATCGGGTCTGAAAGCCACATCCAACACATCAGCCTGTAGTTGCAAGGGTTCACTCGTCTGCGTCCGTCCGAAAATGCTCCAGATGCGGACAGTGTGATCCCAACTACCGCTCACCAGGTGGTTACCGTCGGCTGCAAATGAAAGGGCCGAAACAGGACCCTCGTGGCCGGCAAGTTGATCGAGCAGTTGTCCCGTTTGTACGGACCAGACATGAATATCGAATGAGTCCGGAGAGCCAGCGCAAACCACCTCCCCACTTGGGTCGACTGCGAGTGAGGAGAAAGACAACCGAGTCGGAGCAGTAAATGTCCGGAAGTTTCGGTAGCGGATAAGATCCCAAGCTCTGATGGAGCCGTCCAATGACGCTGTAAACAGAACATTTCCCTTCTTGGAGAACTCGCATGCCGTGACGGCGCTTGTGTGTTCTGTGAAGGTCACAATGCAGAAACCAGATTTGACATCCCAGACCTTGATCTTTCCGTCGTCGGCTGCAGTCACAATTCTTTGACCGTCGGGAGAATATGTCAGAGTGTTCATAGAGTCAAGGTGACCTTGTTGCTTCAGAATGTACGATTCGGATTGCCATTCCCACACCAACAGTTGTCCATGCTTGGAAGAGCCAAAGGCCAGCCACTCGCCCGTTTTGTTGATCGTCACGCAGTCAATGTTACTTTGAGAAACACTGCACTGACGTTAGTCTTGTCTAATAGAGTCTAGGCGCATATGCATACCTCAATTGGTGGATCTGATTGAATTCCGGCATGTCATAAAGCCCGAACAACCCGTTGGAGAACCCAACAACCAGAAGATTCGTGGGCGCGTGGAAAGCAGCGCAGTTGACCTTTGCGTCATTCTGCATGAAGAAATCCTTCTTGACAATCCTCCATCGGGCATCCGCAATATCCTCCATAGTCTCCGGATCCTTTTTTGTAACATATTCCCATCGGAAGACAGCGCCGTCGGAACTGATAGTGTAAATCTACCCATGCTTAGTGCGCATTCAAGGGCGAAATAATTCCCGGACTTACCGATTCTTGGTCGGCGGAGAAATAAGCGGCTTTCACTCCCTGACGATGGCCAGCCAGCGTTGTGGGCTCAAAACCCTCTTCCGGATCCAAGCTCCATATCCGCGCGGTCAAATCCTTGGAGGCTGTGATCAGGAAGCGGGAGTCGCTCGACCATTCGAGATGTTGAACCACATCGAAATGACCGGCGAGGTCGCGGTGTAGAACAAAAGGCGCAAACTCAATCTCTCCGTTGTTGTCGGTACCAGGCGTAGTCGGGGTGTTCCAGAACTGCAGCCGTCTTCCTACACCCACAGCGAAAAATCGACCGGATGGGGCGAACTTGAGAGCGGAGACACGGCCTTTGAAAGAGAAGTGGTGAATGACAATTCGGCGCAAGAAGTTGGTCAGGATGGCGCGGCCATTCTCGTCAATGGTCAAGAGAAGTTTTCCATTCGGGGAGAGCGCCAGATGGTCGATGTTGGTGCGATGCGCGAAGGGAAGGGTATAAGAGGTGTTGCTTCACAAGGAAAATGGTATTAGTATATAATGCCGATATTCCCAAGGCGCGAAAGCACATACTGTACTAGATCGAAAACCGAGACCTGGTTTCCCACCGGCGAGAGCAAAGAGTTGCCATCGGGTGTGAAGAGCAGATTACCTTTGCGATAAACCGTCCCCAGTAGGTTGGAAAACTAGATATAGCTGTCAGTTCCAATGCTCCTCTCTTTGCTGCTTTTTGTATTCGCAGAGATAACAATCGTAAGAGCAATCAACGCACCTTGAAATCCGTCTTCATTGTCGCCGACCGGATCCGTTCGCGCCGCAGCAAGCCTTCCTCTAGTCTTTAATTCATCGGTCGATCTTCAAAAAAATCGGCCTGCCCAAAACGGACGATAAGGAACGGATCGACGGTTCCTCCGACCCCGACCGCATTAGTCTTCAATAGTGCTAGCGCCATCCGGGGCCTTAGTCTGACAGGCTAGTCCTGATGGGGGTAATTGACAGCCTGAGGCTTGCACAGTTTCCTTTCTTCCCCCTCAGTCATTGCAGTCACGCTCGCTTGTTTGCATCCTGTTTGCTTGGGGGGCGGATTCAGGGGCAGCAACCAGTCGAAGAAGGCACGACTTCCCGATCTATCATCCCATTCCATCCCCAAAGTCTCCCTCGCTCTCTCTCTTTCTTCCTCTAACTCTTCCCCCCCCCCCCCCCCCCCCCGACGGTCGTTGTCTCATCCTATTTCTACTCCGCTTCTCGTCGTCTGTCCTCTCGTTTAATTCTTCTCTCTCTTCCACCCCGTTGGCCCCATCGCCCCATTCGTCCTAGGCCAGCGTTGTCCTTCTCCCGTTATCCTCTATCTACTTCGTCTGGTACCGCTTCATTTAGTTCCAGCTCAACCCCTTGCCATCATGTCTTCTACCGAAACCGCCTCTCCCATTGGCATTGCCAACGTATGTATTAAGATAAGCAAATACTGTCTCTTGATCTGGAAAGAACATGAAACTGACAATCCGATATGAATAGCTTCCCAACCAGCGGTATGCCATGCGAAACAATGCCAGCCATGACCGGTACTAACGAAGATGTCCAGACACAAGATCGTCGCTAAGCGTGGTGCTGCTTTCACGATTATGGTTGGTTAACCATGAAACCACAATTTCATAGCGGGACCAAGCTCATTAGATAACCATAGGTTGCTGGAGAATCTGGCTTGGGAAAGACCACCTTCATCAACACTCTGTTCTCCACAACCATCAAGAACTACGCCGATCACAAGCGCCGTCATCAGAAGCAGGTCGACCGAACTGTTGAGATTGAGATCACCAAGGCGGAGCTTGAGGAGAAGTTCTTCAAAGGTTATTAGCGGATTTTCCTGGCTTTCCCAAACAATGGCTAATGCTCCGAAACCCGCTGTAGTTCGCCTGACTGTTATTGATACCCCCGGCTTTGGAGACTATGTCAACAACCGCGACTCCTGGCAACCAATCATTGAATTCCTCGACGACCAGCATGAATCCTACATGCTGCAGGAGCAGCAGCCCCGCCGCTCCGATAAGATCGATATGCGTGTGCACGCTTGCTTGTACTTTATCCGCCCTACTGGACACACCCTGAAGCCTTTGGACATTGAGGTCATGAAGCGCCTCAGCTCCCGCGTCAACCTTATTCCCGTCATCGCCAAGGCCGATACCCTCAGCCCTACCGACTTGGCCCGTTATAAGCAGAGAGTGAGCAACCCGCATGAATTCCAGCAAGTACACACATTGACGTTCGTGACTTTCATAGATCCGTGCCGTCATCGAGGCCCAGGGCATCAAGATTTACACTCCCCCGATCGAGGAAGACGACGAGCACGCCGCTACCCATGCGCGCAGCCTTATGGCCGCCATGCCCTTCGCAGTTATTGGATCGGAGAAGGACGTCAAGACCAGCGACAACCGGGTTGTGAAGGGTCGCCAATACGCTTGGGGTGTTGCCGA